CCCTTGAGCGGCAGCAGCCTCAGAGGACCCAAGCCCCGCCCCCAGGTGGGACTCCACACTGCTCTGTGCTGTCTAAGCTGCCTGCTGAGTACAGAGTGGCAACCACAGATAGTAGATCCCTCACTAAAGGGGGCGCAGAGAGGTCTGGAGACACTTGAGGAGAGACTGGGGATAGAGGCTTTGCGGGGAGAGAGTAGCCGGTGTGATTAGAGTGCTGACTCCTGCCCCCACACAGCTGCAGCTAGAGGACCCAATAACCCCACCCCCAGGAGGGACTCCACCCCGCCTTGAGCTGTCTAAGGTGGCCTGCTGAGTGCAGAGTGAATAGATTAACAGCTGAAGGAGACAGCCACAGACAGTAGATTCCTGGAAGTCTCAAACAGACTGCCTAAGGTCAGACAGGGATGATGACATCTGACATCATCAGAGGCAGATTGAGAAAGTAAAAACAGCAGTCTCCTCCAATAGAAGTACACACCACAAAGTCAGAAAATCAAGACAGAACAACTTAAGGAGCAGAAGCAAAAAAAAGGAGTCTCACAAATAATGGGAAAACAAAGAAATACCCCCCACTTGAAGGGAAAGGAAGAATCCCTAGAAAGAGAACGAAATGCAACAGAGGCAAGTAAACTATCAGATATTGAATTCCAAACAATGGTTCTAAGTGAGCTCAGAGAGAATTACCAAAAACTACAGGCAAACTATAAGGAACTTACTGCAAACTATATCAGCATGACAAAGGACATACAAACTGTCAGTAAGAGGAAATGAAGGATATAATTTCTGAATTGAAAAACACAGTAAAAGGAATCAAAAGCAGGCTAGATGAAGCCGATGATTGAATCAACAAGCTGGAGGACAAGGTAGAAAAAATTTCCCAGAAAGAGCAAGAAAATGAAAAAAAGACTTAAAAAGAATGAAGAGGTATTTAGGGAAATGCAGGACAACCTGAAACCTAGTAATATCCGTATAATAGAGATATCAGAAGGAGAAGAGGATGAGGAAGGGCTAGAGAACCTGTTGGGAAGAGTAATGATGGAAAATTTCCCTCATTTGAGGAGAGAAAAAGTCACACAAGTCCAGGAAGCACAGAGGGTCCCATTCAAAAGGAACCCAATGAGACCCACTCCAAGACACATCATCATGAAAACAGCAAATAGCAAAGACAGAGAATCCTAAAGGAAGCAAGGAAGAAACAGGTAGTAACATGTAAAGGAGCCCTGACACGGCTAGCAGCTGACTTCTCAACAGAAACACTGCAAGCCAGAAGGGAATGGCAAGAAATAGTCCAAGTCATGAAAAGCAAAGGTCTGCAACCAAGACTGTTCTACTCAGCAAGGCTCTCAATTAAAATGGAAGGTGAAATAAGGAGTTTCCCAGACAAAGGAGTGCCAAAAGAATACACCTCCACTAAACCAGCACTGTACAATATGCTAAAGGGACTGCTTTAAGAAGATGAAGAAAAAGAGTCTATGAATACCCAGTTCCTTTCACAGTTGCTAATACTTGATATTACCAATATTTTTTAATACTTATAATCTGGTTGTAACAATGACATGTTATTTTAATTGTTCCTTTATTATTTGTTGCAACTAAACCTGTTTTTGTATATTTCTTGCCTATTTCTATTGTTTTTAAAAAGCTTTAAATGACTTCTTGGTATTCTTTATCCATTTTTTGATTAAATGTTTGTAGAATTTTTTCCCTAAAAAAAAACAAAACAAATTAACCCTTCTTGAGATGTGTGGCAAATGCTTTACCATTCTATTACTCGTCCTTTAACTTTTTTAATATGTATATTACTGTACAGTCTGTAATGTTTAATGTAGTCATATTGTCAATATTTTACTTTATAGCTTCTGGGTTTGAATATTTTACTTCAGGGTAAGAAAAATATTAGTTTCTATTTTCTCCTAAAACTCCTTAGATTCTACTTATTGATTTTTAACTCACCTGAATACTTCTTGTATAATGTGTGAAATGGGGCTCTTATATTTGTTTTATCTCAAGTAATAGTGGTCCATGCCCCTTTGTTCAATAACTCTTATTTTACCCATTGATTTGAAATATCAACTTAATCATATATTACATTGTGAGGCAGATAAATACATTTGCCTCTAAAATGCTCATTATATTTCACGGATCTACTTGATTATTTCTGTGTTAGTGTCATGTTGTTTTAATTGCTGAGACTTTATATTGGTTTTAAATTTTTAAATATTTTATAATTGACTTTGACATTAAAAAAATAAAATCAGTCAGAGAGAGAGAAGACGCAACTCCCATCTTTTGCAACGACATAGATGGAACTGGAGAATATTATGTTAAGGGAAATAAGCCAGTTGATGAAAGACAAATACCATATGATCTCACCTATAAGTGGACTCTATTCAACAAGATAAACTAACGAACAAAAGAAACCACAGGCATGGAAACATAAAGCAGACTGAAAGTGACCAGAGGGTATGGGGAAAGTGGACAATGGTGGAAAGAAGGGGAAGGGACTAGACAAAGAACACGTATGAATGACCCATGAGCATGGTCAACAGAGTGGGAATTGACTGTGGGAGCAGGGGGTAGTGGTGGGATGGGTGGAGGGGGAAAAGGGGGGAAAACTGAGACAACTCTAATAAAATAAACATGATTTATAAATTAAAAAAATAATTAAAAGAGACAAAAAAAGAGACAAAAGAAAAACACAGAGCTACTCTTGGTGCGGGGGGGGGGGCGCGGAACAGCTAAGGGAGTAAAGGGAAGGAGAAAATGAATGAAAATGAAGTCCCAGGAGAAATAGGTCAGAGGAATCGATCAGAAATATGGGCTGACAGGGTTGCTCTACCCTGACCCCCAAAAAGGACACCTCACCTGAAGAGACTAGAGGGAGAAATAAACATTGGTACAGAAGAATTTGGGCATAGGGATTTGGGGAGTTCATGCCTAAGGCATCAATTTTCATAATGAAGAATACAACTCAGCTACTGAAACCAGCTACTAGACAGCAAATTTGAAGAGTAAAATTGTGTTAGTTCAAAATATTTGGTGAGGAGACTGGAAATTAAAAAACTAATGAGAATTACTGACCATCTAATAAAAATTAAATGCACTTTATCAGTTGAAGGGGCAATAATGAGCCCATTTAAATGATTTCCTCCAGTAGTACCTAGGCATCATACCATGATGGAGGAACAAGGAAAAGTAGACAATAGCACTAATCCAAAATTGGCAATGTTATGGATGGGGGCAACAAAAAGGGGCACAGGAGGTAAAAGTTTAGATGAACTCTAAGTTGAGGATTTCAACAATGGCGACTACACCAGGCAGAGAAGGGAAAGTAACCTACAGGCAATGTAAAGATTTTTAACTATTTTTAGAGAGAGAGGGAGGGAAGGAGAAAGAGAGGGAGAGAAACACTGATGTGAGAAATGGCAATTGGTTGCCTCTCATACACCCCCCTAGCCAAGGACCGAACCCGCAACCCAGGCATGTACCTTGACCAGGAATCAAACTGCAGACCTTTCACTTTGCAGGGTGATGCCCAACCAACTGAGCCACATCAATCAGGGCTAATCTATAGGCAATTTGGTACAGGATACAGTGGATTTACCTCTGAGCACAGAAGTTATTAAACACAGTCTAATATTTCATTGGCCTTTGTCCTAGACAATACAATTGAATTAGATTTCCATATCCTATAATTGACCGAAGAAGGAATGTCATAAGAGAACTAATGGACAAATAGATGGATGGATGTGTGATAAAGGAGGTATAATAAAATATTAATAGTAAAATCTATAAGATGTGTGCATGAGATGAGTGTAGGCTCTAGAAAAGCAATGCCCAAACAGGGATGCTTATCTTGGTCCAGTGGATTGCTACTTAGAAATGGTCACAACAAAATTGTGTTGTGAGATGACAGAAATGTTCTATAATCTGTGCTATGAAATACGGTAACTGCTAGCTATCTGTAGCTACTGAGCCCTTGAAATGTGACTAGTGTGGCTGAGGAATTTTGAGTTGTATTAATTTGTAGTGTAAACTGATATAATAACATGTGGCTAGTGACTGTGGTATCAGATAATGCAGCCCTAGATTCATATATCCCTGGGTGCAAGTCCTAGGTCTACCACTAATCCAGCTTACTTCATTTCACTAAGTCTTAGTTTATTCTTACATAAAATGAGAACAGCAACAGCAACTACTAATTCATTTGGATTAAATGAGCTAAGTAGATATAGCAGGAAGCACAATTCTACACATACGGTAAAAAATGTTTTTTTAAATTCTCAGTTGAGGACACATTTACTGATTTTTGAGAGAGAGAGAAAATGGGAGAAAAAGGGAGAGGAACACCAATGGGTTGCCTCACCCTGACTGGGGATCAAACCTGCAACCTAGTTATGTGCCCTGGCCAAGAACTGAAAACACAACTTTTTGGTATATGGGTTAATGCTCCAACCAACTGAGCCACCCAGCCAGGGCTATATGGTAAATATTTTTAAAATTTGTTTATTATCCCTAATAAATGGGATCCATGAAAAGAGGGGCCACCACTAACTGGTGTTTTGCTCTCCATTGTATCACCAGTAATTCGTACAAATATCCTACCAAAAAAGACTCGATAGGCATTTGTTGCATGAATGCTTTTGGCAGTCACAAGACTCTATGTTTATTCCTATTAAAATTCACATTAATAAGTCCATTGCTCCCATCTGCTGAGGTCTTTTTGAATCCTAATGTCATCCAATATATTTGATCCCTTTTCAGTAAATTCTGAAATTTTGATAAATGAACCTATATTAATCTGACACGTAAGTAAAAATGTTAACCAGAGGCCTATATCATTAGTTTTAGTACCCTGTACTTTATCAGCATTCATTAACTGGTATGAGTTGAGTATGGACACTCAATTTAGCTGTAACTTTGTTCTACCTTATAAAGATTAGATTAAGCTAATATGTCTTTCATTGAAACTACCCTTTTAAGAACACCTGTGCACTCACCCTTCAATAGCTGGGGATCTATCAGGACGAGTACTTCCTTGTGATCTGTATCTCCGAGTCATTGGCAGCCGAGGAGGTCGACTTGGTCCCCAGAAGTCAGTGTGAGTTTGGTGTCTCTCATTGCCTCTATTATCTTGGTCCAGTGGATTGCTACTTAGAAATGGTCTAAAATCTTGTATAATCATCGTGTGGTCCAAATTGCGCCAGAACTAGTAAAAACCAGAAATAAACCACGTTACAGTTTTAAGAACAGTAAAAGAGGAAAGAGGAAGAAGAAGTCTTTCAAGTGCATGAATGGGGGGAAAACCTTACATACTACAAAACTTAATTTCCTTAATAGAGAAACAACAGGTCAATGGTCAAATCTGTTTTCTTTCTTTTTATCCTCACTCAAAGACATTTCTTATCATTGTTTTTAGAGAGAAAGGAAGGGAGAGAGAGAAAGAGAAAGGGAGAGAGAGAAACATAAACATGTACGCACCCCAGCTGGAGATCAAACCCGCAACCTGGGTATGTGCCCTGACCAGAAATTGAACCAGCAACCATTCAGTCTAAGGATGATGTTCCAACCAACTGAGCCATACAGTCCAGGGCCTGAACCCCTTCAGAATAAAAACATGAGTCAAAGGTAATCATGGACTTCTATACTAAGCACAATCAATCATTTAGATGAATATTATAACCCTGTGTTTCAATGACATCCACATTTCCACTATAAAATAATAAGATTTAAATAAAACAGATGCATTTTACACACTTGTAAGAAAGCAACATCACCAGAAAATATAGACAGATTTCTGAAAAATACTTCTCTTATTACACCTAATGAAATTGAAGCAGTAATCAAAAAACTCCCAACAAACAAAAGCCCTGGGTTAGATGGCTTCACAGGTGAATTTTACCAAACATTCCAAGAAGAACTTACACCTCTCCTTCTCAAACTATTTCATAAAATTCAAGAAAAGGGAAGGCTCCCAAACTCCTTTCACAAGCCAACATTATCCTAATTCGAAAACCAGGTAAAAACACTACAAAGAAAGAAAATTTATAGGCCAATATCCCTGATGAACATAGATGCTAAAATCCTCAACAAAATATTAGCAAACTGAATACAGCAATGCATCAGAAAGATCATACACCATGATCAAGTAGCATCTATTCTGGGAATGCAAGGATGGTACAACATTCACAAAACAATGTATGTGATTCACCACATACACAAAATAAAGGATAAAAACCACATGATTATGTCAATAGATGCAGTAAAAGCTTTTGATAAAATCCTGCACCCATTTATGATAAAAACTCTCAGAAAAATGGGAATAGAAGAAATATACCTAAACATAATAAAGGCCATATATGAAAAACCCACCGCCAGCATCATACTCAATGGGCAAAAACTACAAGCGTTCCCCTTAAGATCGGGAACAAGACAGGGATCCCACTTTCACCTCTCTTATCCAGCATAGTACTGGAAGTCGTAGCCACAGCAATCAGACAAGAAGAAAAAAATAAAAGGCATCCAAACTGGAAAGGAAGACGTAAAACTGTCTTTATTTGCAGATGACATGATATTGTACACAGAGATCCCCAAAGATTCTACCAAGAAACTACTAGAACTGATAAATGAATTCAGCAAAGTAGCAGGATACAAAATTAATATTCAGAAATCAGATGCATTTTCATATGCCAATAATGAATTAACAAAGGGAAATTAAGAAAAACAATCCCATTCACAATTGCTTCAAAAAGAATAAAAAACCTAGGAATAAATCTAACCACGGATGTAAAAGACCAATACTTGGAAAATTATGGAACACTGAAGAAAGAAACTGAAGAAGAGACAAATAAGTAGAAGCACATACTATCTTCATGGACGAAACAAATTAACATCATCAAAATGTCCATACTCCCTAAAGCAATCTATAGATTCAACACAATTCCTATCAAGAGTCCAATGATGATATTTCACAGAACTAGAACAAATATTTCAAAAATTTATATGAAACCACAAAAGGCCCCACATAGCAATAGCGATCCTGAGAAAGAACAACAAAATTGAAGGCATCACACTACCTAATATCAAACTGTATTACAAGGCCATAGTAATCAAAACTGCCTGGCACAAGCATAAAAACAGACACACAGATCAATGGAACAGAATAGAGAGCGCAGAAATAAACACATACCCTTACAGTCAATTAATATTCAACAGAAGAAACAAGCACATACAATGGGCTAAAGACAGTTTTTTCAATAAATGGTGTTGGTAAAATTGGACAGATACATGCAGAAAAATGAAACTAAATTGCCTTAAGCCACACACAAGAATAAATTCAAAATGGATCAAAGACTTAAATGTTAGACCCAAAATCATAAAAATCCTGGAAGAAAACATAAGCAGCAGGATCATTGCTTGTAGACATTTTTTAACAGCTATATCTCCTCAGGCAAGGGAAACAAAAGAAAACATAAACAAATGGCACTTCATCAAACTAAAAAGTTTTTTGCACAGCAAAGGAAATCATCAACAAAATAAAAAGACAACCTACAGAATGGGAGAACACATTCGCCAATACATCTGATAAGGAGTTAATATCCAAAATTTATAGAGTACTTCTAAAACTCAACACCAAAACTCAACGCCAATTTAAAAATGGGCAAAGGATCTGAATAGACACTTCTCCAAAGAGGCCATACAGATGGTCAATAGACATGTGAAAAGATGTTCAATGTCACTAATCATCAGAGAAAAGGCAAATCAAAACCACAATGAGATACCATCTCACACCTCTCAGCATGGCTATCGTCAATGAATCCACAAATAAGTGCTGGTGAGGATGTGGAGGAAGGAGGACCCTTTTGCACTGTGTGTGGGAATGCAGACCGGCACAACAACTGTCAAAAGCAGTATGTAGATTCCTCAAAAAATTAAAGATGGATGTGCCTTTTGACCCAGCAATCCCACTTCTGGGAATATATCTGAAGGAACCCAAAACACTTAATTTCAAAGAACATAAGCACCCCTATGTTCTTTGCAGTGTTATTTACAATTGCCAAGATATGGACGCAGCCCAAGTACCCATCAATAGATGAGTAGATGAAACAACTGTGAAACATTTACATAATGGAATTCTACTTGGCCTTAAAAATGAAAATTTTACCCTTTGCAACAGTATGGATGGACCTGGAGAACATTATGCTAAGTGAAATAAGCCAGAGAAAGACAAACACTGTATGATTTCACTCATTATGTAGGATCTAATAAACATGTTGAACTAACAAGGAAAACAAGAGACAGAATCATAGATGGAGAGCAGGATAACAGCTAGTTGCAGGGCTGGGAGGTTAGAAGTTGAAGGGATTGAGCCAAAAGGAAAAAGGACTCATGGACATGGATAATAATGTGGTGACTGCTGGTGGGGGGGGGGGCTGTAAGGGGAATAAAAGATAATGGAAAAAATATGATAAAGATTTTAAAAATAATAAAATACAAGTGGAAAAAAAATTTTAATACTTAATTTAGAAACTGCATCAGAAAGGGTTAGTGTCAAAGCAGTGTAGGAATGTCTGATAAGACCATTCCATTGTACACACTTTTATCATGAAAAGGGTGGTGGTGGTGGGGAGGAATAGAGGGGTGGGGGGCATGTGTGCCTATTGGGTTTGAAGACTCACTAAGCAAAGAATGAACGGAAAAAAACAAATCACTTCTGAAATAATTTAAACAGTATTTATCTATACACCAGGCATTCGAAGAGTTCCACAGAACCCTACTTATTTTACTCCATCCAACCAAGTATATAATCCTAGTCATATTCTCTATTTTTGTTTTAAATGAGAACAAAAGACTAATGTATAGATAATAACATGGACACCATAATGCTCAGCACATCACTTTTCATTTCTTAAATTGTTCACAGCCCTCCAACTGCAGACTGATCTTTTCTTCTGAAAATTCATTATTAGCAATAGCCTCCTATAATAACACTCATAGAAAGTATTACCAGCCTAGTTGCATGTTATGCTGAGGTCATTCCAGACCCCACTCTAGTCTCAATCCAGTGACTTGTTAAATCAATTCTCAAAATTAAGGAATCTGGGTTCATGAATAATGTTGCTTTTTGCTAATTTTTTTCCAGTTCACAGTTTGCGTCTTAATTTTCAAGATGTTTCCTCCTCTTTACATTAAAAAATATACAATATATAATATAAAGTACAATATATTCTCTATTTACTCAGATGTGACTAACCCCTACCTTTTATTCTACTCCCCTACTGAGAGTTTAATTTGGTGTGTAGAATTCCAGATCTTTAAATATGTGTCTGTGTATATACACATACTAGGTTTTGTAATACACAACACACACACACACACACACACATTCATTCAATCAATCAATCAATCAATGCTTGTTGAGCATGTACTATGTCCCCAGTCACTTTCTGGGAACTGTTAGGAATACAGCAGAGAATGTAATGTTAAAACAAACAAACAACAACAAAAAAACAAACCGCTGCCCTGATGGATTTCATGTTCAAGTGAGAAGAGACAGACATGCTACTACCTTCCAAAAGAAGAAAAAGAAAACTGAGGGGAAAAGGTCTACATTGAGTCAAAACACACATTCTTATCATTCTTTCCAACAGTAGAATAGCATGGGTGTTTTATATTTTATATGCTTTTGAATATTATTTGATACATGTCAAATAACATAATAAATGAGGTACTGAAAAAATAAAGCACACGCTGGCCAGGTGGCTCAGTTGGTTAATGCCACCCCATTTGCCAAGGTTGCAGGTTCAATACCTAGTCATGGCACATACAAGAATCAATCAATGAATGCTTAAATAAATGGAACAACAAATTGATGTCTCTCTCTCTCTCTTAAAAAAAATAATAAAAAAACACAAATGGAGGATAGGTAAATGGAGCATTCACTCCCTCCCATGAACACACCAAAATTACAGCTAAACCACAGAACCACCATCTCTCAGAACTGCCTAAAACCTAGCTGAACCAAAGTCTTACAACTAAGTATATAAAGAAGCATCCACATAGAGGCTGGTAAGAGGGGCAGAGATTTCACTTATATGTGAAATCTGTAAAACACAAAACAAACAAACAGAACAGAACACACTCACAGATAGAGAAAATTTGGACAGTTGCCAGATGGGGAGGGGGTATGGGGGATGGGTGAAAAAGATG